GGAAGAGTAATTTTTCTCTTTTTAACTGATACAAGTTCATATATATAGTTTAAAAAGAGATTCTTTTATTATAAAGATTGTATCTTAGCAATCTTTAACCTTAGATTTTAAGTCTTTTAACCTGTATTTTTAAGTTATTACTGTTATTTCTGTCCTTTTATAGAATAATTTTCTATCCTATTTATATAATATTATAATTATAAAAGATCACTATCTAATATTATTTTATATAAACTAAATTATAATATTAAAATAAATATAAGTAATAAAATATAATTTAATTATAATTAATAATAATAAATTAAATAATAATAATATTTAAGATAAATATAAATAAAATAAAAATTTTAAAAATATTAAAAATATTATAGATGTTAATAATATTAATTTTTGTTAATCTTTGTGATATAGTAATGTTATAGTCAGTTCTTTAAAGTACTTATAAGTATAAGTAAAATGATAATTCAAATGGTAAACAGAAGATTAATTTTATAATTAATTTTAGAAGAATGTCAAATGGTAAATGATTTATTTAATAATGATAACAATTGAGTATTACCTTAATCAGACTCTATACTATACAAATATATTAAAGGAAATTAAAGTAAACTATCTAAAGAAAATATAATTTAGATACATTATTAAGTTAAAAGAAAATATCTTCTATTTATATAAAATAAAATACATAAAGTTATCAATGTAATAAAAGATATAAAAGAAATAAATAAGATAAATATAATATAATAAATAAATGATATAAATGATATAAAATAAATAAAAATAATATATTGTATAAAAGAAATAAATGTTATAGATGATATAGATGATATATAATAAAAAATTTTTTGAGATCATCAGCTTCTTTTGGATCATTATCATCAATATTTTCTCTTATATAATATCATTTTCCTTCAAGATTTTACATCTCTGCATAAATCTCAATAGCTTTATCAACTAAATTATTATATTTAACTGTTAATAATTCAACTATTATTTTTTTTACTAAGTTTTAAATATAATTTTACTATTTTTATAAGTTTTAATATAGTTTTATCTTTCTTGAATTTACAGATTTTTAATAAGATTTTAATATAATTTTACCTTTACCATTTAGATGACTTGCAAAAACTTTAGTTTTGTTTAGCAACCTTAGTTGTAACTAGTTGAAATTAGTAATAAATAAGTATTTAGGAATTGTAATTAATTGCAGCATCATCTTTAATTATAATGCAAATTAATTTCATTGATTCATAAGCTATTTTATAATAGCTTAAATCAAAATTAAATGAATTAAACTTTTATGTTTACTTATAAAAGCTTTGAAATAATTATTTAACTTAGAAGATTAATTTAAAAAAACAAATAATTTTTATTAAGAATTAAAGAATTAAACATTTGAAATTCATAATATATACAATTTATTATATAATAATATTTTAATTTTTTAATTAAATTATAATTATTTAATTTCATTTAATCTAATAAAACTAATTGTTATTATTTTTGAATTTTGAGACATTTTTATAAAAATAAAGAAACTGTATAATTATTATAAGTTTTGATACTTTTAACTTGCAATAAAGTATATTTAAATTCTAAATTATGTTTATAGCATTTTAGCATTTTTTAAAAATAAAATTTTACAGTCGAATATTAAATATAGGTCTATCAGACTAACTTATAACGAGTTTAATGCCGAATTTAATAGTTCAAAAGGGTGAACATTAAATAACTATTATGACTGAAACTGTTCGACTTCTAAATGCCAAAGGAGCAGTTATATTGACGCAAAATTTAGGGACTATCGAGTTCTACCAAGATCATAAAAGTAAAGTTTTTTTTGACAAATAGAATTTCAAGTGTTATACTTTAGAGAATTTCATGATTTTTATTTGGGATGTGTGCATCGCATGGAGATTGGAGTTTACAGTTTGATATGACGCATTGACGATTTTTTGTTTCCATTCAAAAATAAATCTGCACTTAATAAAATTTAACCTGTTTGAATTCAGGATTTTCTGCATTTCACGTTTTAAAATTTTTTTTTTTTTTTGTTATACAAAGGATAATAACGAATGAATCTGAAAAAAATTCTAAATTCATTCATACAAAGAGAAGCATTTCTGAATGAAGTGATCATACATGTAACATTAAAAGTCAGAATCACTTTTAGACATGTTTAATATCATGTGATTAATCCTAGCAGGTTTTTTTCACTGAATAACGTCATGCAAGCCAACTTTAGTTGATTATTAGGTTCATCCCATCCAAAAATAGTGAATTCTTTAATGCTCCTTGTATTCCGTTATGATGCGATGATAAAGTTCACGCTAGATAACGATGCAGAAAAAACACTTGGAAAAACTACGTATGAAAAAGCTTTGACTGGATTGTATCTAATTTTTGTTTTACAATAATAAAATAATAAAAGATTCTAAACAAAAAAGGTAAATTTTTTTTTGCTAGAGAAAAATAGGTTTTTTTTTAAAGTGATACAAAACAATAAATTGAACAATGCACAATTTATCATTTGAAACTGTTCAAATTGGAATTTTGTAAATCATTTTTAAATTTAGGATTATTGAAATCTATCTATAAATAACCTAAAGATTCTATGGTAATAAATGTATGTTATGCAGATTTTTGCATCATTAAGCGTTAATTTCGGTAAACTTGTTCTTTTAAAAGTTCTGGTCCTTATATTAAAATGAACCTAATTACTTTATCATTTCATTTAAGTATCAAATGAAGTTTAGTCTATTATGAAATCATCATTTTTTTTTTTTTTTTTATCATGTAAATCTTGAAACATCATTTTGCATCTAGTAGATTTCTTTGTTTTAAATCATTTCTTTGTTTAAGAAAATGAATGATGATATACAAGAGAAAGAGAATCATCATTCTTATTTGAAACCAACAATAGAACATTAAAAGGTAACAGATACATAAATGAACAAAACTTTATCATGAAATTAATCTTTTGTGATTCTACATTGGCAGTATGTGTCAAAATTTGGTATTTGTTGTCAGTTGGTGTCGTACGAAATTCCAACAAACAACATTCGTGTCAAATGACAATCCTCAATTAACTGTGTGCATGTGATTTCTGAATTACAGACTCAAGTACTTCATCCGGCGGGAGTCTGATGCTTTATTCGGATCGAGCATCAACTAATCGTTAATACAAGAAAGATATAATCAAATATGAGTATTTTGACCATGCAAGACTCAACGTGTAGAATTTAAAATGTCGCAATCTCAACTTTAATTCCCCGAATCAAAATCAAATCTAAATAAATTTCCAAATGAAAAAGAAAAGTCAACAATCAATCATTATTTGTTTTTATTAAAACTTGTCAATAAAACATGAAACATAATTTCATCTTATTGGGTGACAATCATATTATTATCTCTATTTGATCATAGAAATTGTCACTCCTAAACATTAATTAATTTAATTATTCGTTTGATAAATATTTTCTGGCTATCGAAATTTTTTTTTTTTTTTTATTTAATTAGAAAATCAACATTAGTGATGGATAATCTTGGCGGTAAATACTATATTTGGTGAAGTAATAAAATGGTTAATTTCCTGCAGCTTTCCGTATTTCATGTACGACACTTATCAAGAGAAAGAAAGTAAGGAGTGATTTTTTACCGAACGGAGGAATCTTGAATAAGGAAACTATAAATTATTTCGTAAATAAAAAAGCCATCACTATCACACCTCATTATTCTGATTAAGATATCAAATCATTGTCTAATATAGCGGTGACACCGATATATATGCGGTAGATTTTACATATTTTATCCGTTGATATACGAATTGAAATCATCTATAATAACCATTCGGTGAATGAACTATTATTTTAACCTTCCTTCCATTATTAAAAAAAAAAAATTTCTATTTTTGATCCTTAGAGGAAGAAAATAAAATTATTATAAACAGGTTTAATATTATTTTTATTTTTCTTGATAAGGTGATAACAAAAAAAAAAACGATTTAACTTTAAAAGTAATAACTTACTATTTTTAAATATACACTTTTAAAATAATTAATTAATAAACCTGTATCATGCATGGGAATATCCTTTCCAAACATTAAAAAAGTTATTTGTAGCACCAAATTTATTACTTTTTGTACATGCATAAGTAGAAAAGTAACGACCTCGAGAATTTTTGTCGAATCGAACTTTTCATAGTATAAATACAAGTGATTTGTACATTTTTTGTACTCCTTTTATTTCGAATAAAAAATTATTTATATAATTCATCTTAATAACTTTTTTTTAAAAAAAAAAAAAAAATACGGAGAGTTGTGTATATATATTTATATCATTTATATTTTAGTGAGACTCTCCTTTCCCCCCAAAAAAAACCGAAGCGAGGGCTTATGTTAACAAAAGTATATATTTTAAAGGAAGAAAAAAAAATTATCCACATGAAGACCCGTTGATTATTATTTAGATAGTTACTGCTAGAACAAATATATTATTTTTTTTACTAAAAAAAAAAAAAATAAAACTATTTTTCTCTGTTAGAAAAAAATTAGAAAATTCTTATTACCGGTAAACCCGAGAAAAACCATGACGAGTAGTATTAATATTGATAGTACGTGTAATAATAATAATATTCATTCCATTAATAATAATCATCATCTTAATAATAATAATAATAATAATTATAATAACAACATTAATCCCTTTTATAACTTCTCTACAACTAATAATTCAACTTCGAATTCAATTCATTCAACATCATCCTCCTCTTCATCAATAAATTCAATTTATAATTCAACAAATTTATTCAATTTATTTAATTACCTTCCATCATTTGGTGTTTCATCACCCGACACATCCCCCATCACAACCACATCTATACCGAATAATACCAATAATACCATCGTTCCTTCATTAATAGATAATAGTTCTTCTATATATAAATTACCCAAATTACCGGATCGAACGTTGACCACGACAAATTATACGGCGATAACTACGATGTCATCCCAGAACGTTTCTAATGGTGGAGGTGCAACGTTAACGACAATACATCAAAGATGTGGTGATTTTATAATTGAAATCGAACCTTATTATCATTATCATCCTTCTGCTTCCATTACTAATAATGTTAATTCTAATTCAACTTCTGCCGCTTTAATGTCCACCACCTCTTTATTAAATTCCTCAACCCATCACTCATTGGTAACTTCCTTAACCAATAGGGCTGGTAATAATCACCATCATCATCATCATCATCATAATCATAATTCGAACGTTTCGAGGAATTCTATATCAACTCCACGTCAATCAACGACGTCTAATTCGTCCTTTTCTACCTATTATCATTCCTCCCCAAATTCTACGTCAAATTCTCCTCCCTCTTACTCTCATTCTTACCCACTTACATCAATAACCGAAGGTCAATCCTTATCATTAATTACGACAAAGAAGATCAAAGATTTGGAGGATCATATATCGTATCAATCAGAAAACTTGCGTTCGATGATTTGGGAAAGGGATAATTTAAAACATTTAAACTTTACTTTGGAAAGTCAATTACAACAGCTCATATCAAATTTATCAAGGCAATCTACGCAAATCGATTCTCTTGTAAAGGAAAAACAAGTATTGCAAAATAATTTAAAAGATCGAAAACAATTACAATTGCTACTTACAAGTACCGAAAAAGAAAATGATGATTTGCACGGTAAATGTCATACGTTAGAAATGCGTTCTTCTGAATTACAAGAAATGATTTCCAATTTACAATTTCAATTGAACAATTCTCAGAATCATAATCAAGAAATACAAAGGACGCTCGTAGACAATCATCAACAATGTGAGGATTTAAGACAAAAGTTATCCGATATTCAGAAAGAAAGGAATGATTTGCGGGATGAAGGTTTACGTTTACGTAATCAGAATGATAATTTGGCCGCTGGTATGAGTAAATTACAAGATGAATTAAATTATCTTATTAAAACAAGAGATGACCCATTAAAAGAAAATTTAGATGTCAAGAGCAACTATCATTTATTGGAAAATCCATCACAGAGAAATTCACAGGAAACGATTGATTTTTCACAGGAAAGTTGGTTTAATAAAGATGATTCCCAACGACGAATTCAATCCAATGGACAATTTGGCATTAGTACTACAAGCGAACAAAGTTTATTGAGTGAATTTACTGCAAGCAGTGGCGAAGAAATTGATGACGGTGAGAATAATGAAAGCGAATGGGATAGAAAAAGCGTAAATAATACTAAAGATCATGATCGAAAAATAGTTCAAAGTCGAGAAATTTCACAAAATACAAGGGAGGAAATGCTTGAAAAAGAACAACAATTGAAACAATTACATGTGGAATTAAATACTTTAAGGGAGGATAGGGATGAATTAAAATGTAACTTTGATAAAGTCTCCGACGATCACAATACATTATTAAAAAGGTTTGAGAATTTACAAGCAGAATTAAACAACGTAACAATGAGCAGGGATGAGGAATTACAGTGTGTGACTAAGAATAGAAATGTGTTGCAAGAGGAATTAACGAGTGTAACTAAGAAACATGATGTATTACAAGGAGAATTACAAAGTATAACAAATGACAGGGATAGCTTGCAAGAAAAATTAACAATCATGACAAAGACTTTGGATGAATTAAAATGCAATTATAATTTAGAGAAGAAAATACTTGAAGAAAATATTGAGAAGTTGCAAGAAGAACTAAATGATGTAATTTCTCGTCGTGATGAATTGTCTTTGGATGTATCTTCGGAAAGGAGCTTGTTAGAAACAAAGATTCATCAATTACAGGTTGATCTAGATTCTTCACGACAAGATTTAGAAGGTTCACGAAAAGAATTGAAATTATCACAGGAATTGTTTAAATCTTTAGAACAAGAGCATAATTTTACACGCAAAGAGTTAGATCATTCACAACAAGAATTGAAAACTTCAAGACAAGAATTTGATACTAAATGTCAAGATTTAGAATCTTCCCAGCAAGGATTAGCTACCACGCGCCAAGAATTAGATTTTATACGAAAAGAATTGGATTTATCACGAAATGAACTTGTTTCCACCAAACAAGAATTAAATTCTTTACAGGAGGTATTCATTTCTATTCAACAAGAATTAAATTCCACGAAAAATGACCTTAATTCTTTACAAAACATACGAGAAAAGTATACCATATTAAAATCACAATATACAGAAATAATAGAACAAAATCACGATTTAACGATAGAATCAGAAAAGTTACAAACGACTTCCAATGAATACAAACAACAAAACGAACAATATCTTACTCAAATAGATAAACTACTAAAAGAAGAAGAAAATATAATTAGAAGTAAAAATGTGACGGAAGTAGAAAATGATTTATTAAAATCACAACTAGAAAACTTACAAGCATCATTAAGCAAATTGAGCGACATAGAAAAAGAATCTAGAATAATTAGACAAGAAAGAGATGAGTTAATTTTAGAAAACTCAAAGATACAAAGTGAATCAGGAAAATTAAAAGATAGAATCGATACACTTGCAAATGAAAATGAAGAAATTTTGGATCTGCTACAAAAAGTTAAACAAGAACAAGATGATGATCTAAAGAAGGAGCGAAGAGAAATGATAAATAAGATCGAATTATTAACACAAGATTTAAGCACCGTAAAAGAACAACGGGAAGAATTAAAAGCTCAAAACGCTCGTATTAGTTTATCGATGACGAAAGTCAGTGAAGAAAGCGAACGTGGACTTGGTGAGCGTGAAGGTTTGAAACATCAATTAACCAATCTTAAAGATCAATATAATTTGTTATTGGAAGAAAATGAGATGATGAAAAAAGAACGTATTCAAGCCGAGAAATTACAAGAGGAATTGAGTGCGGCTAAGCGACAATTAAAGAATAAGACTGCACGTCCATGTATGTCGCAATCTCCTCCACCTCCACAACGAAAATCCGTTAGACGAGCTTCAAACGCTATTCAGAATCAAGTACCCGGGCAACATCAACCTGATCAAGTAAGTAACCGTGGATCCCAAGATTCCATACAAAATAAGCAGGAATCTGCTAGTATAGTACAGGCAACATTAGTTAGAGTAGATCAACATCGTCCACAACAACCACATCAAACTGTTCGTAGTGGATCATCACAATCTCAACAAATATCGCACATTTCACCATCATTAAAACGTTCAATTTCTTCAAAACAGCGACATTCAACTTTTCCCGAAGAAACAATTATATCAATGAATACCAACGGAAGAATCAGTAGAACTTCTTCTTCGCCTTCTTCTCCTTCTTCTCCTTCTTCTCCTTCACCATCTTCAACTCCTTCATCTCCTAGTCATCACATAAGAGCTCAACTTCCCGTGATTAACAAAACTTCAAAGAGAATATCGTCTATATATTCATCTAATGAAGAATCAAATGAAGATTCAGGTGTTTATCTTCCGAGAATTATTTCTCCTGCACCCACTAAAGCAATACCTTATTTGATTACTTCTAATAAGGGCATGAATAACAGAGATCAGCATATTAGTGAAGAGCCAAGTCAAATTGTTGATGATTCGCGTCGTAATTCATTAAGTGGAGAATCCACTTATAATGATAATACATCTAGTAGAAGAAGTTCGTTGTATAATCCACCACCGTCACCATCATTTATACCAAAGTTAGTTGATGTTAACAAACGATCTTCAACTTACGACGCCTCAAAACCATTACCATCTGTTCCTTCTGTTACTATTGTTCCTAAAAAAGTCAATGACAAACGAAGTAAATCAGATGATACGGCTTCAGGTGCATCAACTATTAAAAACAGACGTAGTTTAATTTTATCAAAATCTATGTCAATAACTGGTAATTCAGCTAAAAGAATAAGCGGAATGATAAGTAGAGAAAAAGATAAAAAAGATAATGAAAGCATTTCAAGCAAAGAAGCGCCTCTTTGTGAATTTTGTAATCAACAACCTTGTAAGAAGAAGGCTATTAAGGGCTATCGTAAATATTGTAGCAATAATTGTAAAGAATCAGCTGTCGCTGCTAATCGGGTTACGAATGATAATGCAAGGTATGCATTGATTTAAAAAGTTTTTGTAGATAAATGCTATTTTCTTTTCGTACTTTTAAGATTACTAAATTTGCAAATTTACATTCTGTTTAGTGAAATATCAAAACATGATGGTAATCCGAAATCACGCAAATCCTACAGTAGTTCGATTTATAACGCTTCAACAGAATCTCTTCCTAAGCGGCGTTAACATATATATCTTTATTAGAGAGGAAAATTCTTTTTATTTTTCCTTTTATATATTTATTTTTATTTTATTTATATTATTGTTTTCTTCTGTAAATTATTAAATTATTAAATATATAGTATATTTTTCAATATATTGTTTGATAAATAAATATAACATTGTTCTTTAAATAGATGATAATAAACGACAATTTGTAACATATGTAATTCTTACACGTGATTTCAATATTCAGAATAGTTATCCAAGTATTAATTAATTTTATAATGATCTTAAAATAAGACGGTTGATTAATAACTCTTCTTTTTCTGAAATTTTAAATAAAATTCTTTGTGAAAGTAATCTTCTAATTTATTTTAACGTTTATTACTTCATACTATTGTGAAATGTGATTTTTCTGCTCAAGAAACATGTCACTTACTACTTGACCTTCCTCTCTATTATTCTAGCAGCTTGTTCTTTTGAATCTTAATAATGAATTATCTAATAATTATAAGAAAATAGAAGCAAGTTTATAGAATTTAATAATATTGATTGAACAAAGTAATCACTTTTGCAAAGTACTAAAATAGATCTGATAAACTAGAGAAACACACTCTCTTTTAACTATATTTGAATTATAAATTTTATAAAGGCAGTTAAAAAGAATATGATCTGAAAATATTATATAAATTTGACTGAAACTATTATTTTATTATGACAGATTTAAATAAGATAAATTTTGCTAAATAAAAATTTTACTTTATATTTCTATCAAAATCTTTTAACCATAAACTAAGGATAGTACTTTTCATAATCTAAAATTTTTAATTGTGATCTTACTAATAAAGAAAGTAAGCTTAGTAATCTATTCAGTTCTTTTGTAAAATTTGAAAGATATATTTGATAAGAATAAAGAAGAGTATAAAACTGAAGATTGTAGAGATGATAGATATCTAGATTAGATGATTTTGTTAGAAATGGATTTAATTGTAATTATTAATATTTTTCTGATTTAGATTTACATAATATTAATCAAAATATTAACTAGTCTAGTAATATTAGATATTATGATTCCAATATAGATTCTGTTAATATATTTAGTTTTGTATAGCAATTTTGCTCTAAAGATATATTTAATACTAAAAATTTGAATGTAAATTATTAGACTTTAAATGAAAAGCTGATGATTGTATTTAAATAAATTGAATCATATTATAATAATTTTATTATGAATTATAATTAATTTGAGTTGTTAAAAATTATAATTTTAAAAATGATAAGAATTAATAAATTATATTTATTAATATTATTAAAATAACTTTAAGAGATAGATATAAATAATAGTATCAAAGCTTCATCTATTATTATTATTATACTTAATGATATTGCAACATTTAATATTTTAATATAATAATTTATTCAACTTTTTCAGTTTTAATTAACAGTTTAAGCATTAATATACAAGTATACAAGATAAATAGCTAAAAGATTTATAGAAAAATGAATGGTATTAATTATGTAATAATAGATAAAAAGTATAATAGAATATTACATACTTATTTTAATTAATTTATATTTATGTATAACTTTTCTTGAGTATTAAGATACACTATTTAGTGATTGATCTATTATTCTGGTAGATAACTTTATTTAGCTATTACCAATACTAGATGAATCTATATATGATAGAAATCTTAAACATGATACACTATTAATAATAATATAAAAATATACAGTATATTTTAAAAGATATATTAACTTGAAGTAATTCAGCGATAACTAAAAATTCACTTAAATAATATAATTTTAAAGATATCTTAATGTAATTATTTAATAGTAATTTTATATTAGATAATTAAAAAATACTTTTTAAATTGTTTAAATAATTCTTTACTTATAGAAAATGAATAATTTTTAAATGTAGTATATATTATACCTTAAAGAATCAATATTAATAAAATTAATATTAAAAAACTCAAATAATTAAATACTTCTATTACTAAAATTTATGTTATTTATTCAGGTAGTAATAAGACTTCTAATATTAATTTAGATCTAGTAAAAGGTTTTAAAATATAACTTTTATTAAAAAAGATGTATATATTATGCTTAAAGCAAATCTGTGTATTAAAACATGATTGGTTAATAGCTTAATTAAAATAATTAATGATATTTTATTAAAAAATTAAAGTTTATCTTTACTTCTAATTATGATTCTCATAAAATTTGATAACTACATATTTTTTATAATTGAATCTATCAAAAGGAAGAAAGTTGTCCTAATTATTCCTATTTAGTACTTCTAGAAGATAAATACAAAAATTTATTTATGATTGCAAATACCTGTTAGTTTTATTTAAGCTATTATTATATATAAAAGTTAAGGATTAATGCTATCAAAAGCTATTATAAATCTTAAAAAAAGAAATATATTATCAGCTTATCATTTATTATAATATTTTATATTGATGCTCTTAAAATATTCTTTTTAGATTGTTTTTATTTGATAGGCTTTAACAAATTAGTATCTGTAAGAAATTACAAGGAAGAAAAAAAGAAAATTAGTTGCTTTTATATAATATATTAAAGATAATTTTTTTAAAATAATAAAAATATAAAATGTAGATTATTTTATATTATATATATTTTTTATTATAAAAAAAAAATATAGATTATTATTAACTCTATTATTAAAATAAACCTTTATAATAATGTTTTAAGCATGAATAATTTCTATTCTTTAAAGATTAAAAATTAGTTTTATTAATTTAAAAAATATTGAAATTTATTTTAATTTATATAAATTTATATAAATAAATAGTTATTTTAAAAATAGTTAAAAATTTAATTAATTTTAATAATTATTTTAATAAATAAATTTTCAAAATTATTAGGATTTTATATTTATATTAATTTATTTCGACTCATATAACAATATATTCATTATCTACAGATTTCCACTAAAAATCTCTGAATACCATTTTTTAGATATGATTTCATATAGATAACGTCATATAACTTTATAATACTGCAGTTATATGATGTTTTAGACTTTGTTTATATAAGTTAAACTTAATAAATGCACATTTGGTTTGTTTATTTTGACTTTAAATCAAAATAAACTTTAATCTTTTAAAAATAATGAAAATGACCCAAGAATTAACAGCAAAATAACGCGGTACTATATTTTTTTACCATTAACGTGATAATAGTTACTAAACTATTTCTGAGACTGTCAGTTGTGGAGTATCAACAGTATTTGACACTTTAAAAAGTATAGATGACACTAGAACTACTAATTTGAAGCCTCATTCTGGTCAATCACCTCTTATTAAACCTTTATAACGAAACTGACTCAAGCAACTTGTAACCAATTATAAAGGAAAAAATCATCACTCATACATTGCAGAAGTTTAACAACTTTAGAAAAAAAAGACTGGCCAAGATGTTTCAGCTCGCACTATTGGTCAGACACTTCGTGTAGTTAGGCTAAACAAATGTCTTGCTCGATAAAAATCTCTAATCTCACCAGCAAATATGAAGGCACATCTTGTATAGTGTTTAGATCACCAAAGCTAAATAAAGGATGATTGGTCAAAAGTTATATAAAGTGATGAATCAACCTTTTCTCAATTTCAATAAAGCTGATATAGTCAAGTATAGCAAGAACCTCAGGAAAAGTGAAACATTTCTTGTGTTTTTGCTACAGTGAAACACAGCCCTAGCTGAATAATTTAGGAATGCTTTTCAAGACAAGATTTGGGATCTATTATTCCATTATTTGGAATAGCAAATGGTGTTTTACATGTTATCATTCTTCACAAGCATGTTATGCTAACTATGAGACGTGCATTTTCAAATGGTAATGGTATATTCTAGGAGGATAATACTCATCCTCATAAAATGAAACTTGTAAAGAAATTTCATGCAGAAAATGATCTGCACGTACTTTTATGGCTAGCTCAAAGTCTAGACCTTAATTTAATTGAGAATCTGTAGGCCGATATCAAGAAAAGCATTTGTGAAAAGAAAAAAAAGCCTTTAAATCTTGCTAAACTTGACCGATACGTTAAGAAGGCATGGTGAGAAATTCCTATACATACTATTGAAAATTTGGTTGATAGTATGTCGCAGTAAATTCAGGCTGTAATTGAAGCAAATGGAGGCCTGATCAAATACTAATTATTTAGTATAAAATTTATAGCATATCATATATTAATAAATAAATTAATAAACTTTTTTTCAATAAACTTTAAAATTTTGAGTTTTATATTGAGCTAAAAGGTGTTTAGAGACTTTTAGCGGGATTTGTAGTTATTTTAAAGATTTGTCACGCTATTTTCGTTTTTTATTTAAAATCATTAATTTTTTAAAAATTTTGCTGATTAATCTATCAAAAAATCCTGTTAAAAATTTTGAAAAACTTGCATGATATGCATTGAGAGGGGCAAGTAATTGTATTTTTGATTTTCTTTCTGTAACTATTTTTCGTAAATCTCATATTTTATTTCCTAACATTTCTCCAACTTCTTTCTATTTATTTTTTGTCCATTCTAATTTTGGATGTATAATATTAATTATACGATTCATGCTTAATAATAATTTCAAAAAAAATAACTAAGCAATTTGGATAAAATTTTAACTAAAGAACTAGTTAAATTATTAAAATTTGTAGTATTTGTATTAATAAATTCATTAGGATTTGAGTAATGTATATTATTCTTAGGATTATAATATTCATACTTTAAAGGAATTTTAGATGAAGTGAATAAAAAATTTAAGGTTAGAACTAACATAAAAGCAAGAATTATTTCTTTTTTTTCTTCTGTTTCAATACTAGCTATATAAGTGAGCCATTGACTCAATAATTTTAAACTTTCAGATACATCATCTTTATGTAACCCACGTTGTTCACAAGTAGATTTTTATTTGCCAGTTTCAGATTGATGATTTAAATGCCCACTATGAGATTCATAGCAATTATAACAAATATATCGAACTGTTAAAATATCATCAAAAATTTATTTGGAAATATCTTGGCATTTATATATTGCATTACATGAATAAAGATCAATACACAGAATTTGAATATATTTCCCTTATATTCTCCATAAATGATTTTTACACCCAGCTCTTTGACTAAAAAAATAAAAATTCTTAAAACATAATAAACAATGTTAGCGGTAAATTTCACTCTGTTCAGGATTTCGCAATTATTTTATATATGCATTATGATTTTTTTAATCATAATTAAAATAGTTCATACACATCCCTAATGATATTTCTTTTGATTTAAATCTTAATATTGTATTCTCATCAATTTGCCAGGTTTCAACTAACTGGCATATATTTCTAACATTTCCAGTTTGATCACACATTTGTAATTTATTATCTAAATTGTCGATTAGAACACATGGTGAAAAATTGGCTTTTACAGTCAGATTAGATTTATATATAGGCTTGTTTATTTCTTCAATTGGTATTGGGGTAAAGGAACTTCTTAGTTTTTTGAATCTGCATCAAAGTCTTCCTCATTTTCATCATTTAACTGGTCTACAAATTCTTGTTCAAGTGCTATTTGTGCTTTAATATAATTTTCTTCACTAAATTCAAATAATTGTAATTTAGAAAGTTCAACAAAAAATTCTGAAGTTGTATCAGATTCATTATTAGATTATTCTGAATATGAATCCTGACCATCGTTAAAATGTAAAGAGGAATGTTTCTTAAAAGTTTCTTCATTTATTACACATGTTTCCATTTCAATAAATTGAATTTTATATCAACTTTAACACTAAAATTCTTTTAAATAAGAAGGCATTAAGCACAAAAAAAATGAAAATATTATTAATAATACATCAAATTATAAGCCTAATCACTTTATGTTACATGATATAATGTATTATTTTAGTATATTATAATTGAAAATTGTGAAAATATTGTATTTTTCTATATGTATTTGAATTTTTATTATAAAATGCAACTTGCAGATCTCTTAATTAAAAATGTTATACAAAATAATCAGGTAACATGCATACTGACTGTTAAAGTATTAACTAGATAGTTTTCTATAATAAAAAATGCTATTCTAGAAAAAGTCAAAGACTTTTGAATTCATTTATAGTTTTAAACAAAACCCTAAATCAATTTTGACAAAAGTTAAAACTTTTCTAATAGTTTTTAATAAGTTTTGATAGGTTTTAATAGTTTTAATGGGTTTTGATGAGTCTTAAAAGTTTTAACAGTTTTGATAATAATTTTACAAAGTTGACAGTTTAACAAATTTATTTTATTATAATGTAAAATATAAAAAAGAAGATAAAAATACTTTCATAAGTTAAAATAAAGAAAATATGAAAGATAAATGATTTAATTAGACTTAATTATTAATTTGTAAATTTTTTTTTTTTATAAGTATATAAATATATGATATTATAAAAGAAAATGATCTTTATTATAAACAATTTGCTCAACTCATTAAACAAAAATAATAAATTCAAATATTATATTTAATATCTTAAGATTTTGACAAGTTTTATCATTTATTTAAACTTTAAAACTTTTGTAATATTACCTTTAATAAAAATATTTGACTAAACATTTTGACAGGTTTCAATTTTGATACCTATCAAAACCTTGAATTTTGTTTAGCAATCTTAGAATATACATATAAGAGGGCATCACTAGTTATAATAAATATGACAACATAACAAGATTTAAAATTTTGATTTTTATTAAAATATACTTAATCTTTTTATTAAGTTATTTGTTTATTATCCTATTAACAAAAAATACTTATGCATACTTATAATATCAAATAAATTATAAAATTATAAACCATATAAAAAATACTACTCTCTCAATTATATTAAATTTACTTTTGCATAACTTTTTGCAAATTCATTTCAAAACCTAATTTAAGATTAATGATCAGCAATCTTTAAATCAAGAAGTAATAGATTGGTGAGTTACTGTTTTCTTTATTCACATACATTATCCTATCAAAAGTATCTGGTCAAGCTTTTTTTAATTTTTTGAGATTAGATATATTAATTAATATAAATTTTTTTCTAAAATAATTGTTTTGGTTCTACCAATTAAAATTTTGTTATTTGTTTTTTATTATAATATATATACCAAATTTGGTAATAAAAATAAAATAATGATTAATTTTGCATAGTAATAATTTTTAACTTTTCTTTCTATATCATTAAAGCATATATTCATATCACAAAGAATGTCAAAAATTGGATTATACAGAAAAAAGATTAAGTTTCTTCTAGATTGATCTTTTTAATCTCTAGATCTTAATTCTATTTGAATATTTGTGATATAAACTAGAATGAAGACTTCAAAAATGATTAGATTATCTAAAAGATTTATATAAATTTGAAAAAGTATTGCGAAAAAAATGGAAAAAATTCCATATAAAACTTATATTAATTTAATTGAAAGCATGTCACATCAGATAGAAACATATATTAAAAGTCAAGAATAGTTAATTAAATATTAAAAATTTATAATATTTATAATAAAATATAAATTGACCAGATACTTTTAATAAAGCAGTATAGATTATATAGCTATACAATAAGATAAACAAAATCAAAAAAGAAGAAAAAAAAGAAAATTACAATTAAAATTAAATCAAAATTAATAAATATTGTTAATGACTATACCTCCATTGGGTTGTCACAAGAGCCTTAGATTTTGATCATGATTTTAATATAGATGCATAAATTATCTACAAAAAAGACAGTGAGACCTAAAAAAAATATATCATCTCTTAATTTTGTAGCTATTTCTTTAACTTGCTTTTTAAATTCGTAAAGTATGTGTTAATGAACTACTTTAATAAAATGCATTAAATATATTTATGTTAAAATTTACTTACTTTTAACTACTATTTGTCTTCTTAGAGAAGAAACAAATTTTATTTCAAGCTGAATGAAATAGATAGATTTTCTGATTTCAATCAAATTCTCAATATAAGCAACTTTATCACCTTATTCATAGTTCAATTTTTTGTATATATTAATTATTCTGCAGAGTTCTCTTTGATATTAATGATTAATGTGTAAATAAATTAGATTACACAATATTATTGAAATGTATGTATCTTTAGTTAGATTAACTTCTGATATTATAGAATAATCCTCTTTGATAATTGAATTTGTTGAATTCATATTTAGACATTGTATAACTTTAATATGAAAAATTTTTATAAACAAGTTGAAAATGATGACAATAATGTTGATGGTGTTAAAATTTCATTAATAATTTTGAGAAAAGAGCTAAATTATTTTCAAATAGGTATTAGATTGAGAATCATTAGTATAAATGTAATTTTAAAAAATCTTATAACAATATTCAAATGTAGTAATTATTTATAAAAAATATTAATTATTCTTATCCTTTATACTATAACTGGACCACAATAGGTAAAGATAGAATAATTTCATCATCTAAAGAATTTTCAAAAGATTAGAAATAGCTGCTCAAAGTTTTATGTTTATTTATGATAAAACATATTACAATAAATACACGAAAAGACCATTTCTTCTTTTCATACTTCTAATAAGTATACTTATAATAAGTATGATTAAAGCTCTAAATAGTTCAATTCAGTCTAGATTAGATGCTAATCCATATCTGAACTGAAAATTTTAGTTCAGTTTAGTTTGAATTATTAATCTTAAAAATGCCAATTTGAATCTAAACTGAATTGCAGATTAGTAAAAATTTAAACTGAACTGGAATTTTCAGATTAATCCAAAATTATGGTTTGATTATATAAGAAATCTGCAATTTATATGTGAAACTTTAGGAGAATCGCAAAAAATTGTGAATTTCTCTTTGAGATTTACAAAAATTTGCGAAATTTGATAAATAATCGCAAAAATTTGTGATTCTCTAAGATTTTTGCATTTTTTGTGAAATTCAAAGAGAAATCGCAATTTTTTGTGACTTTCCAAGAATTTCACGATATTTTTGTGAAATACTAAGAGAAATCACAAAAAATTGCGATTCTCCAAAGGTTTCATTATTTTTTTGCAAAATTTGAAGAGAAATCGCAATTTTTGTGACTCTCTAAGAGTTTTGCATATAATCAAACTGAACTTTCAGATTAATCTAAAATTATCAGTTCAGATCAGATTTTTTTCAGTTCAGATTAGAATTATAATCTGAAAAAAATCTAAACTGAACTAAAAATTTTCAGATTGATTTTTATGCAATCTGAAACTGATCTATACTGAACCAATCTGAAAAATCTTGGATTAATCAGAACTGTTCAGAGCTTTAAGTATAATTTTTTTACTGGATATTACTATTGTTTAGCTAGTGATAACAGTTATTTGAAGAAAACTCAGCATATTAGACCTTCTTTTTATAAAACCAAAATTCCAAAATTGAAAAGTCATATTAAGTTTATAGAAAATATTTATTGTAAAAAAAAGGTAAGAGTTCTGAATAAGTCGAGTCGAGTCAAGTTTAAAGATCAACTCTATTCAACTCTCTTTTTTCGAGTTGAGTTGAGTCAAATTTATTTTATAAAATCTTTCAATTTGATTTGATTCGAGTTATATAAATTTTAAACTCGATCCAATTTGACTCAACTCGATTTTAATTCAATTCAATTTTGAAAAAAAAATAATAAAACAAAAATGAAAATATCAGTGAAGAGGAGGGAGGGGAAAAGCAAACAATTCGTATTATTGTTCTTCTTGAATGATTTTTTTATCATTTAAGTCAAACGATTTGGGTTATAGTTCTTCTTGAACGATTTTTTTATCATTTAAGTCGAACGATTCAGATCATCATTCTTCTTGAACAATTTTTTTATCATTCAAGTCAAACGATTTGGGTCATTATTCTTCTTGAACAATTTTTTATCATTCAAGTCGAGTTTAAATCAAGTCGAGTTAAATATTTAATTCGACTTGAATTTGGCTTGACTTGCAAATCATTGAGTCAAAAAACATTAATTTGACTTGATTTGAACTCAACTCAGCTTATCTGACTCATGAGTTAATTCGACTCGTTCAGAACTCTAATCATCTTAGTTGTTAAATTACATAAAAAATTAAATAATTTAAACTAGATTACATGAAATATGAGATTAATTGAGTCACCTGTAAAAAATTTTCTATTAGATTACATATGATTTTGAATAGATGTAACACTAAAAGCAATTATTTTAATTATCAATGATTATTTTTACTTTTCTTTTACTATAAAATTTACCTAAGACATTTGTTTTATGAATAATAAACAAGATTGATCAATGTGAATTTTTAGTTTAGACGCAAAGGAATCATGTTTATTCGATCCTGGTATTTCTTATTAAAGAAGCAAATACAGTTGCAAATACCTTCAAAAGCTTGAGAAAAATGATTAGTAAATTACTATATGTAAGTATTTAAGCTCATTATTTATACAAGTAATCTGTAAAGTTGTGAACACTTTTAATGGATTATACTATTTTTGAGACACTCACTACAAGGTTAGTTTTTTCAAATAAGAAAAAATTTTAATTCTAATCACTTAAAATAAGCAGTAATTGTATAATTAAGTTTCAATTGCAGTCCCTGAAGTTAATTTGTTGTCTAGACTTTTCTATGCAGCTTTTATGCATCTCAACCTGAACTTTTGATACTAAAATGTTGGCAAAAAGTTCATCCATTAACCATTACAAAAAGTATGAATTTTTTAGTATTTATTTTTTACTTTTCTTTTTTATTTTTGAAAAAACATGATCATTGCATCAATTAAATTTTTTTTTTTTTTTTAAATAAATTTTATTTATTATAGCTTCACTTATTGCGCCACTAAAACTAGAATCAATTCCAATCATTAACAAAACACATACATGATGATTTAAATAATTTGTTTTTCTAAAAAAAAGAAAAAAGTGTGATAAATTAAATGAATAGAATTAGACTTACAGATATAAAGGTTACAATAGGAACAAATCCAATTGGAAAGATATTAAAAAAAATTCCATTAAATCAAAATGATATTAAAAAGTTAAAGAATTGATTATTAGACATTAAATAATTCATATTCCATCATGCAAGATTTCAGGAAATTGAGTCAACACATACTTTTTTTAGGAAAAAAAATTAAATAAAAACTTCAATCTTTATCAGGATTTGTTTCTTTGTAATGTAAAAAATATGTTGAATAAGTTGGTTCAACGAGATTCTATTGCTGTGGATAGATTGTTCCATCTTCGTTAGTAATTTTTTTTTAAAGGTTTCTTTTTGCACGCTGAAAATTATTATTTGGGAATCTTTTTCTTGATAATTGTTCGTTTATTGTTGTAATATTAAAAAGAAGCCACTTTGAATGAATCGAGAGTTAATAAAGTTTTAATGAAATATCTTTCATAAAATTTACTAGATTTTATTTAGTAAGGGCAAATATTAAGATGCAATTACCACTTTTAATGCTTGCGCTTAGCCAGTTATAGTTCAAACCACAATCGTTTCTCCTGAACACCGCGTAGAGGCGGCAAGCTTCGTTCAAATAAAGAAAACTTAGTTTCGTTTTTCACTCGTGAATTTGATGCTATTATCATTCCACCTTTTGAAGTGTCAAATATGACAGATAGAAAACAAGTAAAATTACACGAAAAACAGTTCGGCTAATTGCTTGGTTTGGCACATTTTTCAATGAAGCTTATACCTCAAAAAATTGGAGGTCCGAGGTGTACATCTGCTGGAATTGTGAAATTGTAATGGATCGAGATGAAAATGGCGCTCGGGGAATTTTTCTCCGGGCTTTGCTTGATTAAGCCTCTACTCTTTCCGGAAATCTATGCAGGAGATAATAGCATTACTTAGTATTACCTAATGTTGATGTACTACAATCCATCCTCTGTAGCTCAGAACTTTATTTCTCAAAATACTGTATCTCTTTGACTGGTTAACCTTAACCGGTATTCTTTTGTCATGATCAACATAAGAAACAATAGTTGTTGGTTCATCTCATTGTCGTTCTTCTTTTTAGTCCGTAATTGGTTACTTTTTTTTTAAAAAAAAAATTTTTTTTTTTCCTAAGCTATTAAAATATTAAAATGGCTATAACAAATTTTTTCGAGTATTTAGAAAAAAATACAGCCAAATCTAACACTACTTAATCGTCTTTCTTTGTTGCGAAATTTTTCGATTTTCCTTTTCTGATAGCATTAAGATAACAGCATAAAAGGTTTTCCGAATCTTCACATGGCTTAAATGATGATCAACATTAGTGGTAAATTTAAAAAAAAATGACGTACGTCTAAAATGACAATAATTTACCTTTTTTTTTGTTTTTTTTTGTCTTTTTTTTCCCTCGAATCGGAATAAAGCTAGAATGGATAGTCGACTTTCCGTTGATTGCCTCGACGAAATTTTTGAGTATCTAGAGAATGAAAAGGCTACTTTATACTCATGCTTACTTGTTAACCGTCTCTGGCATAAAAGTTCTGTTAGAATCTTGTGGAGGAATATTTGGAGTGTTCCTATATCATACCCGAACAGACGCCGATGGGTGTCATCATCAAAAATTCTTCGCACTTTAATCGATTGCCTTCCTCATGAATCAAAAGTACTATTAAGTGAGAAAGGAATTTATTCAACATCGAAACTTCCATTGGTGAATTACGTATCATTTTGTAAAGTTCTTTCAATTCATGAAGTCGATCAAATAATTCAGCGTAATCTTTGCCCCACAAAAAGGGAGTTGGTATTACAAGAAATATTAAAAATGTTCATGAAACAAATTACTTCCCTGAAAGAATTAGATTATAAAATCACTTCCTCCGAAATCCCCGTTGGTTTCACATCTTTCCCTGGAGCAATCGATCGTTTGTCAGATCTTTCAAGATTAATCTGTAGTTCAAACTTTTGTTCCGAATTTTTTCGTAAACTATCTGGAATTTGTCATAATATAAAATCACTTACCGTAGAGATCGGTACGACCATTTCGGACGGATTAAATGATTTAATTACTCAAAGCAATTTAAATCAATTAACTTTGATAACCTCTTTTTCTAGTAGTAGTCTGTCATATATTATACCTTCATTAACGAAACTTTCAAACACATTAATCAAGTTGGAAATCATTGGAATCTCTTTTTATGATTTTGACCACCTACAACATTTTAACTTTTCACAATTACGAATCCTAACGTTTGAACGTGAATTCCTATACCTAAATACCTTTTTAGAAAACAATGGAAAGAATTTAATCGACCTTTCTATCGGTTATTCTGATAGTCCGTTGGCTATTGCTAAATTTTGTCCGAACCTGAAATCACTAGTTATTGCAATGATGAACGCTGAATCGTTGAAAGCCATTTTGAATAGCTGTCAACAAATTGAAAGCATTGAAATCTGGTGTAATGATTTTTTAGGTGAAAAGGAATGTGTTGGGATTTTAAGAAAACTTTTACCAAAGAATTTTCGTAAATTAAAGTTGGCGAAAAGTGTTCTATACCACAATCAATTTTTGAGGTGGAAGTAATTGAAAAATATTTGATTTTATCATCATTTTAAATTATAAAAATGTTATTTGTGAAAATACGACTTTTTTTTTTCTTTTAAAAGAAAAGCGAAATATTTTATAAAGAGACAACGATTAGAATATTTTCCATGACGCAGTAATGGTCATTTTTATTTAAATAAATCGTTGCTATAATAAACTTTAATACCGTTAAAAGGATCGATAAAGTTCTGAATTGATTATATTGATAAAAATGATTTACAAAATAGTTTGGTTGTCACTCCAACAATTACTTTAAACATCCTTTAACAGTTAACTTATGAAAGCAGTGTTTTTAAAGAATTTACTGAACCCGCGCTTTGATTTGCACGTTGCGCAGGTTTACAACACTCCGTTGTTTCATTTTTTTTTTTTGCCTGCCCTTTAGCTGAGAGGTTTATGATGTCATGTTTGAATTTATATAACATAATTCTTTGATTTTTGGTTGTTGAAGAAATTATGTTACACAAACAAGATTTAGATTTGCAAATTGATTGTATACATTAATGCAGAATTGCAACGTTATGGTATGTAGGTAATATAATGACGCAAAAGTTTGTATAAGAATTAAAGATATGACTACTATATATTAAAAAAGGATATTCTAAAAAGTTACTCAAAAAATATCTTGCAACATAATAAACCTATTTTTGAACAAATCAGAATTAAATAATATAATCATTTTTTGTATTAATTAAATCAAAGTTATTATTTTTAATATTTAGTTTAAATTAAATATTTAATATTTAATAACAACATAGATTGTAAGTTATTTATTCTTTATTAAACCTTAAATTATTAAATATATTTTTTTTATTAAACCAAATTTTTATTTTAAAAAAAAATAAATATTTTTTTTGATTGAAAAATTTTAGATGAATTTAGTTTATAATAAAAAGTATAATTAAATATTAATAATTAATAAGGCCGTTACTAAACTTAACCGTGGTTATAACAACAACCCCGGTTATTTAACCAGTTGATGTGGTGTAATAACCATATATATGTGGTTAAAACACCACCGGGTCAAATTTCACGTGACTTGGGAAATTTATGTTGCAGTATTTATCGTTCAATTGTGAACATATTAATTTTTGATACAAACCGTAAATAAATTTTTATTTTCTTTAATTATACTACCTATAATAAAATCTATATGCTACTTATATAATAAAATCTTTACACTAGTTACTGCAGACTTTTGATAATGGCCAAATTCACCATATTTTCTTTATTTTCGCTGCCCCTAACCCTAACCCTAACCCTAACCTAACGACATCGAACCTCCCTTCAGGGGATTCAATATATACCGAAAAGAATGCTTAAAGACCCTTATACCCTAACCCTAACCCTACCTCTAAGCTACTCCGAAGCCAACTTCACTCTAAATTAATATTATAATTCAAAGCAAAAAATTAATAAAAACACACCTAAACCCTGACTTAACGACCTCAAAAAGAATGCTTAACAACCCCATAGCCTAACACTAACCCTAATTATAACTCTAAGCTACTCCGAAGCCAACTCTCTAAACTAATTTTCTAATTCAAAGCAAAAAAAAAACCACACCTATACCAATTTCTGGAGTCGTCAACAAAAATTGCTCAAGTTCATTCATAATAAAATATGTGATTAAAAAGGTATGCGAAGTAAAGGCAATAAATGAATTTTTCAAAAAAATGTTAAGGCGAACGAAGTAAATGAGAGAGAAAATTTGAGAAAGGATGGATATTCGGAATTATGTCATTTAGTAGACTATTTTCGTCATATGATTAAACACGTGATTTTCAAAAAATTCAAAATTCAAAATTTTAAAAATTCAAAAATTCAAATTTATATAGGTGATAATAACCGGTGGTTAATCATAGATTTTCCCAATTAATAAATTTGATTTACTGACTATTATATCATTAATTATTAATTGAATTTTAAATAAAAAATTTAGTTGAATTTATAATTATAATAATGTAATTTCTTTGCGCGGGTAAATTGTCACGTGATCAGATTTCGTCATGCACGTGCTTTGCAACGACCTCAGATAAAAAATGTGGGAATTTATTTTCATATAAAACATTGTTGGGTTGCGTTGTATTTGTATACATCTGGTATATCTGATTTTTTATTCATTTTTTTTAACAGGTTCGGATGTAGTGTGATAAATCTCAAAATATGTATGTGAAATATGTGAAAATATGTGTTTATAATTCTGGTAGAAATATATTTAAATTTTAGTAAAATTATTAAATATGAAATAATTCGCAAAAAAAATCTAATTTATTAATTTATTTGATTTTTAGAAAAACTGTTCAGGAATACAGGAATATGTGACGCAAATATACTGTATGCTATGAGCATATTTTTAAGGATTTTTTCACGTATGTTATGTGGCACATATTCTGCAACAAATATGGCTGATCACAATCATAAATCTATTCTCAATGCTTCTAATTCCTGTAAATACGTTCTCTGGCACTTCAAAAAAAAAAAGACTAATTATTTTAATATAATTGAAAAATCCTTAAAAATATGCGCATATATTTGCGTCACATATTCCTGGACACCCTAGACTCCAAACATTCTATTATCTCTGATAATCTATTACATCACATCTAAAAAAAAAAACCGTTTTGATTTAGTTTCAAATAATTGTTTTATTAAAAAGAAAATTCTGAATCCTCATACTTATTGATAATTTTCACTAAGTAAGTCTTTGAGATGTTAAAAAGTAATCTACAATTTTAAATAACTCATGTATATCATAATCATAGAACTCGAGTAAATGTAGGTATGATGACCTGTCAGTTACCAATTAAAATAAAAGTACAATATATTTATTATTGGCGTTTCCAGAAAAGTTGAGATCCGAACACACAGTAATACAAAAGGTTTATATATTACTCAACTAAAAAAATCGTTAGAATGTATAAAAAAATCCTCTGAACTTTTGATATATATTCTAAATATATAGTTTATTCTAAGTAAACTGGTTCCATTGTCTTAAAATATATAGCTGTATAATTTATATAATTTAGATTGAACGGTGAAAATGAATTAGAATATTAATTATTCAATAATATAGTGAAACAAATAATCATCTTATAATATTAAATTCAATAAAAATAATTTTATTAAAAAATTTATTGCTTTAATTAAAAAGCTTTTTTATAATTTTTGTTAATAATTTTTTTATTTAAAAAAATTTAAAATGTTAAAAAGCAAAACTTACTGAATTAGGAAAGATGCATATCACAAAAATTAAGATCTTCCAATTAATTACCTATTAAAATTTCATAATGGTTTATACTAAGGAATTCCTTGTTTAAAATTAATACTATATTAAAACTATATACAGTTCATGTCATATAGATATTGGTGTCAGGTGATTCTACTTTATATAGTGGAAGCTATGGTTATTTCAAGAAAGGAAGAAATAGGTATAAATTTGGTTAGCTTTATGTAAGAACTATAGAGGCTGTTTTTATTTATATCGATATCAATATCAATATCAATATTGATAGAAACAACGGTTGTTTATATATGATTTTTTTTTAAAAAAAAAATTGGGACTGAATGATTATAATTACTAATTGAAAGAATTCATCAAAAACATATATTACGGTAACAAAATCCTATTTCATTTAATAATTTTAACCAAAAGATGATCCAACCTAAAACTGCCTAAATCAAATAAATAAAATGAAATAAATAAAATTAGTAATCAAATTAATTACTAAAATAAGAAAAGAAAATAAAACAATAAATTAAAATAATTAGTTAGCTTATTTTAGCTATGATGATGAGCCAGTCAGTTCCATTCAAAAATTCTATTTGGTTCTTAACCAACCAATCAAACCTAAAAAAGCAAATAATTACCAAAATAAGAAAAAAAAAATTTTATCAAAAAAAATTAGTCAGCTTACCTTCGCTGCTAGTCATTTCTGTTTTGAAGATTCTGTTTAATTATTAGCCTAAGCAAAGGATCTGATCGAACCTAAAAAAGAAAATAAACAAATATTAAAGAAAAAAAATATTAATTAATATACATAAAAAAAGAAACTCGTTGGCTTACCTTCACTGTAATGATGAGCCAGTCAGTTTCATTTTTGACAGTTCTATCTGGTTCTTAGCCCAAGCGGAAGAACTGATCAATTCTAAAGTAAAAGAAATAAAAAAATAAAAAAATTACTAAAATAAAATAAATCAATATTAAAAAAGAAACTCGTCAGCTTATATTTACTGTGAAGATGAGCTGATTAGTTCTATTTTTAACAATTCTGTTTAGTTCTTAGTCAACCGATGGAACCTAATAAAATTTTTAATAATTTAGTAATAAATAAAACATATAAAACAGATCATTATTGATTCATAAATTTTTTATTTTTATTTTTATTTTTATAATAAATAAAAAAAATGATTGCAAATATCTCTACTATTATATACGTTCTTATCATATCTGATGAAAGTATTAGTAATAGTATCTTATAAAAAGGTATAGCAATCTTTCAAATTGAGAATGATAAAGGATTTTAAATATATTAATACTATAATTATTTAATCTCATAAAATGATTCTGATTCTGACCTGAACTATAATTTTGAAGCAACATCATTTAAAGAAGAGAATATGTACTTAATATCAGGAAAATTTTCAATCATACAAGATAGTTTAATTAATGTTACCATTATAATAAGTGTGCATATCTCTCTTGATAAAGAATGTATTCCTATAATGAAACCAACTGTGCATCTTCTTAGAAGAACTGTAAATTATGTATAATTATCAGAAACTGGTTACAATTTACAGATTCAAGTAAAATCATATTTATCAAAAAAATAATTTATACTATTTTTGATAAATTTAACTCATCCTTTAGATGGAAGGTTTAAAAATACCTTAACAAAAGCAAAGAAAAATTCTACAATCTATGCAACAGGATACTTTTTGTTATAAAAAAACAACTATATTGTGAAATATTAGAATTC